GGGGGGGGGGGGATATGACGACGGCCTTGTATCATTCGGGTTTCTTTCTTTCTTTTAAAGGGTGATTTTGGTTGGGATGGAATATATATATACAAATATATGCACATATATAATGTAAACATATATATTGCATGTGTGTGTGCATACATACATCATTCATCTGTCGCTTTCTCTACCTCTGCGCTTCCTAGTTTTATCACCCTCTCTCCCCATGCCTCCTCTCATCACTCTTCTGACTCTCCCCCACCATTTATCACTCTCTCTGATCCCTCCCTCTTCGCCCGCAGTCCCCGGCGCGCCCTCCGCCATCCGCGCCCTCCCCGCCGCCCGCGACGAGGTGGTGGTGTCGTGGCTGCCGCCCTCGCGTCCCAACGGCGCCCTCCTGCAGTACACGCTCTACTACAGGCCCCTCAACGCACATCTGGTACTTGCTGGGGGGGATGACTGGTGGGGATGTGATGACTGGTGGTGATGGGATGACTGGTGATGGTGGGGATGCGATGACTGGTGGTGTGATGACTGGTGGGGATGTGGTGTCCGCGGGTGTTTTGATGACTGCTAGTAGTGTGATGACTGATATAATGACTGGTGATGGTGTGATGATTGATGGTGGTATGATGACTGGTGATGTGACTGATGGTGTGATGACTGATGATGCGATTGCTGGTGTTCTCTGATGTGATGACTGCTGGTTGTGTGGTGGCTGGTGGTGTTGTGATGACTGTTGGAGGTATGACTGCTGGTGTTATGGTGTTGGTAAGTGTTTGCTTTAGGAGCTGGATTAAAAAAAGGAAGTGCTGGGGACGGATACGTGGCGCTTGCATGAAGGATGTTCTTTACAGTGTGGGTAAATGACTTGTAATGTTGAGGATATATTTTTTTCTCGTATATTTGTTTTAATCTCTGCGGTATCATGATTGTTTTGTATTCTGTCGTTCATGGTGATTATATTTACAAAAGCATATATGATGACACTGCTAATGATTTTTTTTTCTTCCTGACACTTCCATGCTTCTCCTTGCTTCTACCACCTCCCTCCTTCGCTTCCGTCCTCCTCCCTCTCTTCCTCTATTTCCTTCAATTGTTCATTGTTTTGCTTTCTTCCTTCCTACCTTCCTTCTTTCCTTTTCTCCTTCCACTTCTCCTTTTCCTTTCTCATTTCGTCCTCTTTCCTCCCTCCTTCCCTCTCTTACGCTCCCTGCCTCCCTCCCTTCTCCTTCTCCTCCCCCTCCCCCTCCCCTTCCCCCTCCCCCTCGCTTTCCACCTTCCCCTTCCCTCCCTCCTCTCCCCTTCCCATCCTCCTCTCCTTCCCCCCCTCTTTCCTTACCCCCCTCCTTCCCTCCCCCTCCCTCCTTCCTTCCCCCCCCCCAGGCCACCCGCGACATCGCCGTGACCGCCGACGTGGGCGCGGTGCCGTGGGTGGAGCTGAGCTGGAAGGTGGGCGAGCTGGACGCCCACGCCCGCTACGAGTTCTGGGTGACGGCGTCGACGCGGGTGGGCGAGGGCGCGGCGTCCAGGGTGGTGTCCGAAAGCCCGTCGGCGATCGGTAGGCCGCCTGCGATTTCGTTCATGTGGCTTCGGTTTATTTTTATTTATTTTTTTTTTTTTCAAGTTGGTGTCGTGTTGTGTCGGAGATATTGTATGCCTTTTGATGATTAAGTTGGTTTAAGTCTTGAGTAATTATTATCATGTTGGAAATGATTTTTGCTATTACTTTCGTTGGGATTTTTTAAGGTAATGTTCCTTATTAATTTTCTCTCCCTTCCTTCTCCTCTTTCTCCCTCTCGTCACTCTCCATCATCCTGTCCATTCTCCCTTCTCCCTTTCTCCTCTCTCTTCCCTTTTCCTCCTCCACTTTCCTTCACCTCCTCCCCTTTCCTCCACCTCCTGCTCTTCCTCCTCCTCTTCCTCGCCCTTCCCTCTTCCTCCTCCTCCTCCTCCTCCTCTTCCTCCTCCCCCTACCCCTTCTTCCACCACCTCCTCCCCCACCACCCCCTCTTCCTCCTCCTCCTCCTTCCCCTTCCTCCGCCACCACCTCCTACCCCACTCCCTCCTCCCCTTCCTCTTCACCCCCACCCCCTCTTCCTCCTCCCTTCCCCCCCAGTCCCCGCCCGCATCAGGTCCTTCGGGCAGGCGGTGGAGGTGCGCGCGGGCTCGTCCCTGACCCTGCCGTGCGCCCTGGTGGGGTCGCCGCCGCCCTCCGTCAGCTGGTCCCACCAAGGGCGCGACAGCTCCCTGCACGCACAGGTAAGGGAGGAAGGAAAGGTAAAAAAAAATGATGGGACTAAAGAGTGATAGTGATGGAATACTTAGGAAATGAATGAATAATATATATTTATATATATTTATATATATTTATATATATTATGTATATCATATATATATTATATATATTATATATATTATATATATATTATGTATATTATGTATATTATATATATTATATATATTGTATATATTATATATATTACATCTGTATATATATATATATATATATATATATATATATATATATATATATATATATATATATATTATATATTACGATTTATTCGGTTAGATGGGAATTGATATTTTGCACATAAATGATTAAATAAATGAATAAATATGAAAAAAAATGCAATATATATTTTGTATTTAAAGAATAACTGGCTATTTCACCATCTTTTCTCCTCCCCTCCTCCTCCTCCCTCCCTCCCTCCCTTCCCCCCTCCTCCTTCTTCCCCTTCCCTCCCTCCCTCCCTCCCTCCCTCCCTCCCTTCCCCCCTCCTTCTTCCCTCTCCCCCCTCCTTCTTCCCTCTCCCCCCTCCACCAGACCCTACCTGACCACTCCCTGCACGCCTCCGTGGTGACGCCCGACATCGCCGGAAACTACACGTGCCACGCCCAAAACCCCCACGGGCGTGACGAGGCGACGTGGGTGGTGCAGGTGGTGCAGGCGCCGCCCCCGCCCACGGTGAGGGTGCAGTACGCCACCGAGACGGCCATCCACCTGTCGTGGGACACTTCGGGCGACGGAGGGAAGCCCATCACAGGTGAGCGACGGGGAGGGGAGAGTTTTGTTTGTTATTCTACTTGTTTGGTTGGTGTTGTTTGCTGTTATTTTATTTTGTTTGTAATTTTTAAATATTTATAAGTGATGAGTTTTTTTTTGTAGTTTTTTTGTATATATATATATATATATATATATATATATATATATATATATATATATATATATATATATATATATATATATATTTTTTTTTTTTTTTTTTTTTTTTTTTTTTTTTTTTTTTGGGGGGGGGGGGTGTTTGTGTTAGTGTTTTCAAGATATTCTCAGTAAAAATAGTTCATCCATATCTTAGTTTGCTCTTTGTCGCTCCTGTATCCTTTCTCTTCTTCCTTCATCTTTTTTCCCCCTTTTCTCTCTCCCTCATCTTTCTCCCTTATTTTTTTTTTCCTTTTCCTTTATCTTTTTCCTCATTTCTTTACCTATTTTCTTCCTTCCTTTTTATTTTTTCTTCCTTTTCCTTAATCTTTTCCCCTTTTCTTTCTCCCTTATCTTTTTTTCCTTTTCCTTTTATCTTTTTCCCCCAATATTTATCCTTTTTCTCCCCCCCCCTATATTTATCCTTTTTCATTTTGCTATATCCTCTTTTCCACTTACTTTATCACTCGTCTTCCATTGTCCCTCTTCCTCTTCCATTATTCCTCTTCCTCCTCCTTTATCACTTCCCTTCCATTGTCCCTCTTCCTCTTCCTTTATCGCTTCTCTTCCATTGTCCCTCTTCCTCTTCCTTTATCGCTTCTCTTCCATTGTCCCTCTTCCTCTTCCTTTATCGCTTCTCTTCCATTGTCCCTCTTCCTCTTCCTTTATCGCTTCTCTTCCATTGTCCCTCTTCCTCTTCCTTTATCGCTTATCTTCCATTATCCCTATTCCTCTTCCATTGTCCCTCTTCCTCTTCCTTTATCGCTTATCTTCCATTATCCCTATTCCTCTTCCATTGTCCCTCTTCCTCTTCCTTTATCGCTTCTCTTCCATTATCCCTCTTCCTCTTCCATTATTCCTCTTCCTCCTCCTTTATCACTTCCCTTCCATTGTCCCTCTTCCTCTTCCTTTATCGCTTCTCTTCCATTGTCCCTCTTCCTCTTCCTTTATCGCTTCTCTTCCATTGTCCCTCTTCCTCTTCCTTTATCGCTTCTCTTCCATTGTCCCTCTTCCTCTTCCTTTATCGCTTCTCTTCCATTGTCCCTCTTCCTCTTCCTTTATCGCTTCTCTTCCATTGTCCCTCTTCCTCTTCCTTTATCGCTTCTCTTCCATTGTCCCTCTTCCTCTTCCTTTATCGCTTCTCTTCCATTGTCCCTCTTCCTCTTCCTTTATCGCTTCTCTTCCATTGTCCCTCTTCCTCTTCCTTTATCGCTTATCTTCCATTATCCCTATTCCTCTTCCATTGTCCCTCTTCCTCTTCCTTTATCGCTTATCTTCCATTATCCCTATTCCTCTTCCATTGTCCCTCTTCCTCTTCCTTTATCGCTTCTCTTCCATTATCCCTCTTCCTCTTCCTTTATCGCTTATCTTCCATTATCCCTATTCCTCTTCCATTGTCCCTCTTCCTCTTCCTTTATCGCTTATCTTCCATTATCCCTATTCCTCTTCCATTGTCCCTCTTCCTCTTCCTTTATCGCTTCTCTTCCATTATCCCTCTTCCTCTTCCTTTATCGCTTATCTTCCATTATCCCTATTCCTCTTCCATTGTCCCTCTTCCTCTTCCTTTATCGCTTATCTTCCATTATCCCTATTCCTCTTCCATTGTCCCTCTTCCTCTTCCTTTATCGCTTATCTTCCATTATCCCTATTCCTCTTCCATTGTCCCTCTTCCTCTTCCTTTATCGCTTCTCTTCCATTATCCCTCTTCCTCTTCCTTTATCGCTTATCTTCCATTATCCCTATTCCTCTTCCATTGTCCCTCTTCCTCTTCCTTTATCGCTTATCTTCCATTATCCCTATTCCTCTTCCA